AATTCTTTTCAAGGGATAAGATTTTTTTTTAGTCCTGCTATCAAGCACATGCACATGTCTTCCCTTTCAATTTGTTGGACAGGCCTAACATGGAGGCTTCTAATGCTGATCTCAGTTGAATAAAGCTGGTTTTATTCAAATGGCTAATTCCATAAGGTGCCTTTCCAGATTCAGTTATAGGTGCAATCTTCTGCATGTTTTGGAAGAAAAGGTTCCAACGTGCTCAATAAAATGGGATTTACTTCCATGTCATTGTGCACAAAATGTCAACTTCTCTTTATCTAAGAGTACATGCTCCCATTTTCACACCATTAAAGCCGGGCAGAGCTGAACAGTTGGGTTCTAGAAGGAGAGTTTGGAAACATTTTGGGACAACAGTGTCCAGAACCTCACTACCTCTGAGGATGCTTGCCATAGATGCAGGCGAAACGTCAGGAGAAAAATTGCCTCCAGAACATGGCCATATAGCCCGGAAAAACCTACAACAACCCAGTGATTCCAGCCATGAAAGCCTTCAACAATACAGTGTCCAGAATGCAATTGTGTTTCTGCAAGTAACTTCTCCAAGCTCTGCCCCAAAGTTTTGCAACTCTACTGAAGGGCATTCAAATTATTGCCCATGATCAGCTATGTGCTTCAACTGGAGAACACACAGATACTGTATTTCACTGAGTCTAAGGCCCAAATCTAAGGCGCACCTTTTCTTTTTGGCAAAAAGTATTTTTTTAGAATATCTTTTAGATTTTTTCTCTGCATGCACAATACCTTTTTTGTTTCAATGTGGTTTGCAGTACAATATTTCCTGTGGGATGAGGAGGGAGTGTGAAGGAGCCTGCAAGTCATTTGTCTGCATGAGTCCATATTATTAAGTCTTTGACCCTATTGGTGAGGCAGTGGGAAGAGGAAGCAGAGGACAATATGGGTGGGGGCATGAAGAGCCATTGCGACTGGGGTTCTTCCTCCTCTCTCTCAGAGGTATTTATTTGTCGTGTCAGGGCAACCAGTCTCTCAGAGGTAAAACAGTTTTACAAAAAAACCCAAAACCCAGTGAATCTAAGGTGCCATCAAATCTAAGACACACCACATTTTTGAAACCACTGAAACGGGAAAAGTGCACCTTAGAATCAGTGAAATACGGTATTTCCATAACCCAACAGGGCTGCCCTAAGACATTTTGTTGCCTGAAGTGGAGCACCACATGATGCCCCGCACTTCAGTATGCCCCAATCATGCTGCCCAGTACTCGGGCTACTAATGTTACTTTGACACATGAGCAGAAATCCCCAAAAGCATTTCTGACAATAAAACAGCAACAAATGGATTCATTATATCTTGCCTTTTAATGAGGAAGTGACGGCTCACTATATTGAGTTGTGGGACCTGTCCTGAGTTACACTAATTTTTGTTCATATTGATAGCTGCACATATAAAAGGAAATCTGTATTGGGGTGTATATCTTTTAAAGATTTTGAACTTGTTGTACTTGGACACCTAAAGAAAATTATTCTTCCAGAGAAATAAAAGACAGGCACAGACTGATTTCCAGAATGCTCTTATGAAAAAGTAAAAAATCAGAAAACTAAACCAAACATGTCACAAAAGGAGACCTCAATATAGTCATGCTTTTGGTAGGTATGAAAAGTTTGAACATTGTGATTTCTAATGAAGAGAAAGAAGATAAGGGATAGTTAAGACTCATGACATATTACTTCATTGTCATCTACATATTTTTTTTGAGATGGAGAATCAGTAATGCCAGGAAAAATACATTAATTTAAAAGAAAAATAAGCTAAGGGACACTTTGTAGCTTTGGATTATTTTCTTTGGAGTGTTTAGTGAGCTGTGATGTATCGGGGCTTCAACGGCCCTATTAATTTAAGGGCACCTGAAAGCTTGGGCTTCCAAAATTGCTCCTGTGTGGATGCTTTAGAAGAGTTCAGAGCTTTCTGTAAATTAGATTAATACCAGAGCTTTTGAACATTTCATTTTTTGAACTACAACTATTAGAAATTAGAATGAGGGATATTGAATGGTGAAATTACAGAAATTACTGTTTCCAAGATCTGATATTAAATGGTAATATAATCTTTAGATTAAAAGTATATATTTCTCTGTTTTCAAATGAGTGTGTTTGTGCAAATATGCCCCCCCCACCCACCAAATATTAGATTTGTTAGAGATTACTAAACCCTTTCACTCCAAAAACCTGGCATCATAACTATTAGAAACCAAGAAGGCATTTACCATTTTCTTGTTCCGATTTCTGAATCACTGAAAGCAATAACCTGAGAATATAGAATACACGTGTATTTTGCTCACCCAAAAGCTTGCATTGTTTCCATAACATTTTTATTCTTTCTCACTAGGCTGTATTCAACTTCACAGGCTGTTCATCTTTCATTTGGGGAGACAGATGGGTAAATGTGAATGGAAACCCTCTCTTTCCAGATGCAGGAATGAGATGTCTTTATCTTCAACCATCTTCTCCCAGAACAGTTCCCTTAATATTTGGGGGGTGGGGGGTGGGGGTGGGGGTGGGGGAGGAGGATCTCTCTCTAAAATTATTATTCTGGAGATCCCATCCATGCTGTGATCCTAACAATTTGTACCAACACTGATCCCTGTAAAGCCATTGTGCTCTTCCTCTGGCCTTGATACAACATTGGGTTTTCTTGATGTAGACAATGTTAGGATCAGATTTTAAGGCTCTGTGTGGTGCAAGTGCCCACTTTACTACATGAACACTGGCTTGCAAAGTTGAGTTACATCAAGAAATGGGTAGCTGCACAATCTAAAGTACTATCTTGCTTTCTCTCCTACAATTATGTTCCCTAAGCCACTTAAACCCTGAGAAAGAAGCACGTATCCCAATACCCAGATACAAAGATGCATCCCCAAATGCCAAAAATCATATGAAAGTTTACTTTCCAGACTCTTCAGCAATTTTGCTTATATGGATTTATGGGTTTTATTTTCTTACTGACAATTCTTATAACTTCAGCGATTTGCAACTTGCTGTTACTTGTTAACAGACCTTGGCTAAAACCAGTAATAAAGTACCTTATTTCCAATATATATATATTATTATTTCAATTAGAAATGCTATAGGTTCAAGACCTATGTTGTTCAGTACTTCATTCCATGTAATATTAAAGTGCTTTTAAAAATCAATTTCATTAAAACGAACACATTGGAAAAGAATGTACAAGTCCAAAATTGTTAATTCATTCTAACTGGATTCATTGTAACAGGCAGGCAATATTGAAATGTTAAACTCCATAATAGTCCAAAGGAATTAATGGAACAATGCATGCATTTTTATCGGCACAAAATAAGACTGAACTTTAAGGAAGAAGAAACTATTTCAACCATTATCACACTATTACTGTGAAATAATAATGTGCTATCATTCCATATTAAGGACATGTATATACCCAAGTATAGAGTAGCATCACTTAAACTGGAAACAACAGAATGAATCACTATATGAAAATATTTTAAAAATACTGTACACTGCTTTCTTAATTGTCCAGCATATGTAAACAAACAGCTAACTCAACTGAGTTTTAAAATATTACTTTGAAGTTAATTATCTTATCTTTTGCATAACATGCCAGTTTTTTCTTTCACACTATCACAACGCACCTATCACAGCTCACAGTGGCTCATTAGAGATTTATATGCCAGTTCACAGACATTGACAGTGGAGCTATATGGAAGAAAGTGAAATATACAGCAGCTACATACAGATGGTGACTCCTTGCCCAAGGAATGCATATTATTTTATATCTATATATCTATAGGCTGGCAATGTAGCTGCCAAAGCCTATTGTTCAGTGTAACATGTGCTGTATTATTGAACGTTATACACCGTATAAACATTTGACTAGATCGTGCCAAGTCAGATGCTATTCTATAACATTCACTAATACAATCACATATCATTATGATATTGGATTATGCATGGGACGTAATATTTTTATAATATAGCACTCAATACATACAATAGTGGGACTCCCCATCAAGAAGTAGAAAAACCTGATTATTCAAACTTATTTGTGCTCTTCCATTTCTTCTCATGTTAGTGTGGCTTTTCTGTTAATTTGAATGTTGGATCAGTAATTATAAAGCCCATATTGTAATGGTTTAAGATTATAGGCAATAAATCAAAATTGATTCGTCTAGAATCTTTCCGTAATTGACTATATAAAGTTGTACTTGTGTAGAAGAAGCTATGGTGAGATAAATGTGTGCCATCATTTGGAAAGCAAATACAGTGTTCCCTCGCTACTTCGCGGTTCGCTTTTAGCGGACTCGCTGTTTCGTGGGTTTTTGAAAATATTAATAAAAATTATAAAATATAAAATATTTACATCCAGTGGTGGCCTGAGGCACGGCGGGGAAGGCCTGCCTCCCTGGCCTCCACAGACACTGGAAGTGCAATGGTCTGAGGCGCGGTGGGGAAGGCCTGCTTTCCTGGCCTGCTGCTGCCTGCGTGGCTCTGGAGGCTCTGCAGAGGCCAGGGAGGCAGGCAGGTGCCCTTGGGATGGGCTGGGAAGCGGGTAAGGAAGCGCAGGTAAGAAAATAATATATATAAAATAATGTATAAATATTAAAATTAATATGGTGTTCCTACTTCACAGATTTTTACTTATCACAGGAGGTCCTCATATGGAACCCCCATGATAAGTGAGGGAACACTGTACAGTGGATTGCCTCAAATAACCAAAATGATTTGTCCTAGATAGCAAAATTTGAAGTACAGGATGTGTTCCTAACAGGCATCAGAGAGGCAGCATGGTGTCAAGAAAACCAAAGTAGTTCCTGGAAATTTGTGTTTCATAAACACATAACTGCTTTCAAAAATATATTTTCTGTGTGCTCAAGTACTTATCACCATCTCAGATTTTTTTTAAAAAAGTGTACTTCTACTTCTATACTCCCCAAAGAAGTTTACTCACTTTATTTACTCCCTAATGCCGGCAATATGGACAAAAAATATATTAATTGCTTAACCACCGCCTCAATTAATTACCGCTGTTTGATATTACAGAGAAGAATAAACCCAAAGTTTTCTGCTCTGTGTAACGGGAGTTCAAGATCAAGTTTATTAAGTGGCTATATTTGAATTATTATAGGCCTTCAGAGTCTGGTAATATTTTAAGAATTGGTGGATGGACTCACTGCATACTGTACTTTTTCTGTAATGAAGAGTCAAGGGGAAATGACAGAAGGTTCATTTGCAGTCGTGCTGATTGAAGTGTGTACCCACATTGGGTGTTAAAACGGTTTCAAAAGTGATATGAATATAATTTTGTCCCCAACATTTTGAAACATGTATACAGGGTTGATATTATATGTAAAAATGAGCAAGACTAATTTTTAAGTTGGCTAATAATTACTAGAAAGGAATTATCTAGGGAATGCCAGTTTTCTTGTTCCTGTACAAATTGAGACCAGACAGATACTAAACTACATATAGCAAAGGTGTTAAGGAACTACAGCTAAAGAATTGTGAAGATGTGTAATGGGACACTGGCAATGGTGTCCTGTTGTGTATTGGTTCCTTTGTGCATCAGTCCATTTGCTAGATTCCCAATGTAGCAATGGAATTATTGCTTCTTGATTTATATGGATATTATGAAACTGCTTAATTCCTGTGGTGCTGACTTCCAGTGGGATGAGATGTTCAGACATTTTGAGCATGTGATCGATTCCAGAAATGACTTAAGCAGTGATAATTGAGCAGGCGTGAGCCATGACTGTGGAAATTTCATTCTGAACAGAGGAGGAAATGTGGGATCAGCCAAATCAGCCAAACTAAGGTCTTCATAAGGAGATCACCAGAAGGGGCAATTGGCAATAAAAAATGTTGCCCAGCTGTGAGAAAGAAGTTGTTTTTTAAATGGACTCTAGGATAATTTGCTTCATCTCTTAAACTTTCTTTTTAATTATCTGGATTAATTAAGCAAGTTATTTTTTTCCTTGGAATGAAAAGAAGCCCAGGTAAGTCCCCTGATTCTATTAACAAGACCGAGTATCCTGGAGAGGAGGAAAAGAGGGGACAAATATGCCGTGATTTCAAAAAAATAAAATAAAAATTAAAAGAGTTGTTTTTAATAATTTTTATTGGGAGTTAAAGGGGATATAAGATTAATGACTTGGCAGATTTTTTGGAGAAAGAAATAGGGGAAATGTGTTATAAAACATACACTGTTTATAGAATAGAGTATATTGGCTAAGGCAATAAACTTGCCAAGAGATGTAATTGTTTTTTCCCTCAAAAAGACTATGATGGATTCAATCTTCACAAAATTGAAGGTGAATGGAAGAGAGATAATAGGTTTGAAGAGGATTCTAACAAGAATTTTAGGCAAGAGAAAAGATTCTGGGGGTTTTTGACAGCAAAAGCAGAGGATGGAAAAACCTTGAAGGGCTGAGTTTTAAAACCTTTACATTTCTAAGATCTGTTGAAAAAAACCAAGCTATTTAGTGAGAAAATATAAAAATGTAAGGGAACTAAGAAGATAAGAAGGATTTGATGTTTGATGTTTAAAGAATAGAAGCACAGAGAAGAGCAGGAGAAGCAGATGTCTTCAGATGTTGGAGACCCAGGACTTTAGTATATACCCCCCCCATCCCATTTTGTCAGCTAGTGTGGCGAACAGGCAGGCATCTGAGGTAACGTCGCTTCCCTCATCAAACAGGGGAAATGTTGCCCAACTGGGGCAGAAGTGTGTTGGCTCCATTGGAGCCAGCACAACACAGGAGCCTTCCTGTGTTGATAAGGAAGTGTTCCAAGATGCTTCCACACTGGTTGGAGGCAATGCCTCCATTGGAAGTTGTGGGATGTCATGTGATGGGCTGTATGCCCATCCGTCCCTCAACTGGCTGACAGGCATTCTAGGATGCTTAAATTGGTAAGTGCTGTGAGGTCTCCAATACTGCATAAACAACATCCATCAGACACTGAAGAGGATTTTGTGACACCAGGCACCAATAATGGGGACTCACCTGACTAAATTGCATAAAATGGGATAAAAATGTTTTCCTAGGAACATAAATGGAGCCAGCACTCCACAGAAGAGATCTTTTTTTTTACTCTTAAGACAATTTAATTTGGATATAATTGATCTACAAGAGATGCACAAAAGTATGATATAAAACATTTGGCACATAAAGAATTGAGACAAGAATAAATTTTCTCAGGCCAGAAGAAAAGAAAATTGGTTGGTGTTGTATATTAATCCTATTTTGGGTTGAGAACTAGTATTGGCAGATGAGAAAAATTGGTATGCGGGGAACCAGAGTAATTTACCAGGGATTGAAACTTTGGTAGTGGGGGTGTGTACTCTGAGTAAAGGTAGGGTATCCTTTCTTTTAAAAAATGTTGGGGATTAATTATTAGCTCTGTAATATAACAGTTGGTGCTTATTCTATTTTCCCCAAAGATAGAACCTCAGATAAAAGATTATTTTTTTCAAGATAAATTACAAAAGTATTAAGCGTTCCAATTTAATGGTCACTCTGGAACTAATCATTGAGATATAAAAATAGAGAGATAAAGGATTACACTTACTTCTCTGAAAGACAGAGCTGATTTGGGGTTTCAAACCTTTAAAGACACTAGTACAAAAAAGTCGAGCTATTATCAAAGACTTTGGCATAGCAAAACCATGTGTTACTCATTCTTAAAAGAATAAGGGAAAATTTAGATGGGGACTGAATGAGCAGCTATAGCAATTGTTAGAGAGCTGTCTAAACCATGTGTGATACAAAAAGGAATTAGACAAGGATGTCTGTTGTCACCATTGCTGTTTATTTTAGCACTTAAAGTTTTGAACAGAGACATTATTTAAACTGAAAAGATTACAGGCATTAAGATTAAAAAGGAATTGTACAAACTGAGGGCATTTGCAGATGATCTGATGATTACCCTGATAAATCCACTCAAAAGCATGGAAAGGCTGATGGTAGCATTAAAAAAATTGGGGGTTGGAATATTTTAAAATTAACAAACAAAAGTCTGTAATATTGACTGTAAATATTAAGATGAAAGATCAAACAGAATTGATGGAAAAAACTGGCTACAGAATCAGAAAAAAAGTGAAATATCTAGATATTACAATGACTATTTCAAATTTTATGTAATATTTATTTATTTATTTACTGTATTTGTATACCTCCTTTCTCAGTCATATCGGCGACTCAAGGCAATATTAACATTCTTATGTTAAGATGTGGAATGAAATCAAGGATGTTCAGAGATGGAAGAATTGAAACCTATCTTTACTGAGGAGAATTTTAGTAGTAAAAATTAACATGTTAACTAGAATGCTGTTTTTGTTTCAAACAGTATTATTTTAAAAGATATATATTTTAAAACACTTGCAGGAGGATTTGTCAAGTTTTTTTTGGCAAATGACAAAATATTGCAAGGAGGTCAATATGAAATTCTATTTTGTGGCATATTGCTTTGTGTGGGTAAAGGAATGGATATTGTTGACTTTTTAGAAATGGAAGGTAATGACCTTAAGAAGATATTTATTGTGCTATATGATTAAAGTGAATGTAGATTTTAATAATTGTTATGTGAGATGTGTTCTACTGGGAATATGGATGGAATTAAAACCTTTAATATGTTTAGATGAAGGTGAGGAGGGGGGTAGAATAGTGATTGTTTTGTTTTGTGTTTGAGGGATTAGAATTTTCTGTATTTTTTCTTTTTCCTTTCCTAATGCTCCTCGCGGAGGTACCAAACCCAGGTTAGAGCTATCTTACAATATTATACTGTAGTCTTAATACTGCTTAGTGTGGAATGATTGTTGTAAATATGAAAGTAGGCTTTAGAAGTGGCATTATTAGTTAAAACGTACTGGAGAATTCCTAGATACAAGAGTTAATTATATTGCATGCTAATAAACAAGGCTGAATTTGGGGATTGCTTAGCTTAGTTTTGATTTTTTTTTTAAAAAAGAAAGCATCATGAAATACATATCTGAAATTCCCTGGGCAGTGTGTGTGTGTCTTTGTGTGTATATGTGAAAGAAATTTGTTGGGCAAGTTGGAGTGGAAAAAGTGTACCACTCTGAAATGTTCTTCCTCTTCCTAAAGGAGCTCTTCTAAAATCCACAACAAAATTTTGAAGCGAAGCAGACTGGCAAAGAAAATTTGCTTTTTTCTTGGTATTCATAAAAACAACACATCTTAAGACACAGGTACATACATTCAAACAAGTCAACACACTACTGAACAGCTGGGTAAACCTTAGAAGAATAGTTGGGTTGATAGAAGGGATGGAATGTACAACAGAATCAAATGATTGTGTAATTGAAATCAGCACAGTGTTGTTTCTTTGCCCCTACTTTATTAGGAACTCATAAGATGGTTTTTGAGCTCTGATTCAATGTGCTATGGAAACAGTCACATGGAGGCCATCAGACAATGTAAGGGCACTTCTGGTGGGACTCCGTGGGGCTCCGTTTCCGCAGCTTGTGGAAATGGAGCCCAAAGACAGCTACCTGACTCCTGAATGCAGAATGCAGGGGAAAGTGGGGAAAAGACGGAGAAGATGCAAAAAGAACACGGGCCATCCCACAAAACAGGGAAAGATAGGAGGGAATAGGGTAACATGGTTCCCTATGCTCTCCCCCTCTTAATGTGATGAGGTCCTTAGTATCAGATAAAACTAAATTCACATTGATTATGAGTGCTGTGTACTTATACCAGTGTTCCTTGTGCCTTCTCTGAGAGCCTCAGTAACACCTGACAATTAGCCCTATCAGCTGAGCCTGTTGGAAGCTGTAGCCCAAAATTTCTGGATAGGATCAGGTTAGACCTTCTTGCCCTTCGATCTTTGTGCTTGCATGTAAATGTTCAGGCTGAGATGGCTAAAACTTTCAAAAGGGATTGTGACCATTTGAGAGTGCAGAATTTTTTTTAAAAAGGAAATGTACCCTATATATTATCAGCAACAAAGGACAGTAATGCATATATTACTATATATCTAGCTATCCCATATGATTAAGTAAGGATTAATTATTTCTCTAAAATGTTCCACGATAAGATTTCCTTCTTCTGGGGGACACTGTGACTTATCTGCTATATTATCCTATTGATAGTGTGAACCACCTTCAGAGTAATAGTGTGAAATACTTCGAGTTCTTGCAACCCTCAAGAGTTCCTGCAAACACTGATGTATCGTAGGCTTGCAGAGTAGTGAGATGGAGCTGGCTCTTACATTCCAGGGCACAGTATTAATGTCTCACTATTTTGAATCTCTATACAATGGAAGCATAGTTAAAAGAATGGCTTTTGCAATTATCATGATCCTAATTTCACTTTGGCAGTTTAAGTCTTTGTTTTGTCAGAGAACATCATTCAGCATCTTCTGTTCTGTGCTCCTTCAATATCAGACCATATAATAAACATACAGTACTATAAATATTGTAATGTTCTGGTACAATATGTTCTAAAATAAAATGATGGTGGCTAAATGAAGGAACAGTTATAAGAACATGGCAAAGACAAAAAGAAGTAAAGCTGCAGTAGATGCAAATACTAAAAAATAATGAAACGAAAACATAGTACGGAACAGAGCACATAATATCAGTTCTGCTCTTATTTGCACCCTCTCACCAGGACATTTTAACAGAGTTCCACAACATACCTTCTAAACCGATGACGTGTGTGCTTAAAAAAATAAATATTTACTATTCCACTTAATTACATTCATCCTGAGCTTGCTCAACTGTGCTAAAAAGCCTGTTTAATAACAGGAAACCATGTGACTACTTATTAAATAAATTGTTCCCTTTTCCTCATGCTGCTATACAAAAGGCATCTCTTTTCTTCCCTTCTTGAAAATATAAACATTTGTGGCACTATAAGTTAATACAAAAAAGAGACCGGTGAACTGTGAGAGTATTCAGCTAATTTCTCCTTACCATGATTAAAGAGAAATACAGAGATGTGAACAGGCTGGGTAAAGTTAAGGACTGGTTTGCTTTTGGTTTCCATAGAATAATACAAAGGTGTATTTCATCAGCCATCACAAAGATGGCACTGGTGCAAAAGCCAACGAAATCAAAATTCAAATACCATCTTTGTATGCAAGTGATTTTGTTTCCCTTTAAAAAACCCACAATCTATCCTTATGTCAAAGGCAGATTTCTTAATCTATTCACCCATTTATGCATTATATCATAAAGGTTTTTAAAAAATAACATCTCTATCATTTTTCCGCCCACCCGCTACCCCCATTAAGTGCAATTGTCAACTAGGTCAAGATACAGAAGCCCAGTGCTTGACACTGAGATTACAAAGTGCTAACTTGACGGGTGGCAGATGCCAGCTGTTGCTGACATATCACGGTCTGAGGTTACTTCATTCTGCTAAAGAAAAGAGCTGGAGAGCAGACAATTCTCAGACATATCTTGTCATATGCTTGCTATCTCTAACTGTGCTTGCTCTCAAAGCTATGGAAGGCACCTGTTCTAGAGAGTTTTCTCATTGACAAGGTGTCCCCTCTGTTCTCTGGTTTCGATGACTTGCTCCTCTGGAACGTATTTCGGAGGCTTGCCGCATTGCGTTGTCTATCAAGTTTATCACTGATGGAGAAGCTTTTCCTGGTGTGTGCATACAGTGAGTTGGATTCATCTGCTGAATAACTGTTGGCCCGTTCAATTTTGGGAAGAGGGATATTGTTAGGCAGTGTTCTAGATGTATTGCTATCTTGAGATGATAAGGAAACCACTTTCTTGTCTTTGGCTTCAGCATCCTCATTATCAGAGCTTGGGTGACTAAGTTCTGCCTCCCTTTCAGGGTGGCAGCATCCTATGTCCTCCATTTTCTCTCCATGGATCCCAGGAAAGCTGGATCTTTCTTCAATGGTTTGAGGAGCACTGACACACCTTGTGTCTATGCAGTCTGTGATACTCGTGTACTCTGCTGTTTTCACTGGCACGCCAAGGCTGCTGAAGTAGCTCCGAGAAGGCGAGAACATGAAACTGTGAGATTTGACAATGGGTGCTTCATCCAAAAGAAATGGAGATGTAGCCAGATATCGACTGCTTTTAGACCGCTCTAAGGTTTGGTACAAGGGAGGGTCAGATTCCCATGGGTTTTGGCTTTCTGTGAGTTGTGAGTAGTCTGAAGAAAACACCCTTGTTTCTATTGAAGAGGGGTCTTCATAATCAATACTCCTACCTGAAATTCTGTCAGCAGGAGAACCACTGATGTAAGCACTACTTGAGAGGATGCTGGAAGCCATCTGACCTTGGAGAGCTGGGTCTCCTGTCCCCAGGATATTTATTGAACTGTCAAGGGGTTCTATTACAGACTCCAGCTCATCCATGGCAGAGACATAAATGTCTATGCAAGAGGAAGGCCTTCTGGAGTCTGGGGCAATAGACAGAGCACTTGTAGGCACTAAAGGTACTTTTTGCTCTTTTGAGACAGAATGGGAACTACTTGCACGATGGAGGCTGAGAGACCTTTCTTTAAAAATGCTTTCAAGTTTGTCAAACCCACACTTGTCCTTCATATTCACTGCATAAAAGGAGTGACTTCGCAAGCGGGGTGTTATCGTTGGAGAGGTTGGTGACATTGACTCCTCCCCTGTGGGATCAATACTCTCTTGAAGTTTGTAAGTGTTTCCTTCTTGGCTGTTGAAGCTACTCTGTCTCACAATGTAGGCTGTGTCAGTACAATCAGAGGATGTTCGAGAGCGTACCTTAGTGACCTCTCCTCTGTCTAGGCCAGTTAGCTTATCTAATGCTGTAGCCATTCTCCCTATCATATCTTCCAGTTGAGCAAGACGGATGTCTACAGTCTGAAGTGATGCCTTCATACAATGTTCCCGTTCATTTACTTCTTCTAATCGCATGGCCATATTCTCTACCCTATTAAAGGAAAGAGAAACAAGAGAAAAGCGGAATTAGTTTTACACATGGCAAACAGGTTAATTAGATGTTTTGCTAATCAAGCCCACTAACTGTGAACTGTTGGTAATCTAGGAGTTGTACTTGTCATACCAATGATAATCAAGGTACATGTGTGTGTGAAAGACACAAACTAACATGTTTCTTTAGTTTTGAATGATCTCTGCAGAGATTATCAGCCTACTCGAATAATATAGCCACTTAGTGGAAATATCTCAGGCTACCTCATAACAACATATATATATATATTTAAATGGATTGTGCTCCTAATAATTAATATTTTTCTATAGAATTCTGCAAATGTTCTGCTATACAGGCACACACACACACACACACACACTATCTTTGCAGTGTATGGAAATACTTTTTTTTTTAAAAAAGAACACAGATAATATAGAAAAAAATCAGATTTATCTTGGTTTATGAAATAGCATTTTTATTTAGATGTATGTGTTTTTATTTTTGGAAAAAATATGTCTTCTAAGAAACATATCTGAATTATATTGGAAAAAAATTAAATTGTACTTTCACATTTAGATTCTGAATATAAGCATTTCTGAAGCTTTTAGGTGTAAATGATACAAGTATTGTTTTCTCTATTTTTATGGATTAAAACAAGGGGTCTTCCAGATGTTGCATGAGGTCTGAGAGAAGCTGTAGTCTGACATCTGGAGAGATAGTTATCACTCCTTGAAAAGGTCAGATCTGTGAAAGGCAATAGTAACTTGCTTAATTAAAGTATATTCTGTTAGCTGCCTTGGATCCCATATTGGAAGAAAGATGAGGTATAAAATAAATACATAAACCCTATAATTTTATACGATTGCACATCTATCTAATATCTCATTGTTTAACAGCCCCAAACCAAACATTAGCCACTGAGGGCAATAAGAAAGCTCACTCAACGTTTGTCCTCCTTTGACAGCAGTCTCCCTCCAGGACTTCCACCATCCATGGTGGAAATCATGTATAGTTACATGAGCAGAACCTAATGATTTGCAAGCATCAAAGAGATGCTTGGTCTAAATTTGCAAGTCATATTGAAGTGTTGAGTATATGTAAAGGCAAAGGAGATGTTTACTCACAAGGTAGCATAACATGGATTTAGTTTTCCCTTTCATAATTACAGCTGTGTTGGGAGGTGGGGTGGAGACTTACAAAGAGTAGCCATATCTCATTTTTCCCTTGGGCAATCAGAGCAAGCTGCATCACCACTCCTATAAGACTGAAATGCTTAGGAAAAAAGTCTTCATTGGCACTAATGGGAAAAATTCCCCTAAGTTTGCTAGCTGTGGGCACAGGGGAGATTTTAGCTGTAATCACACTAGAGGTGAGAAGGTAATCCTTCTGGCACCAAAAGTCTTTGTTCCTAAATGACCCAACCATTAAATGTGGAAAAATGGGATACTACATTAAACAAACATCTAGTTTGTCTCTGGAACATGCTTTGTAGAATTATATCCTAAAACTTTTATTTCGACACGTATTAGTTAAAAATATCCATCCTTTAATGATATAAGTAATGTAGCTTTTGTAACATTTTCATGGAATGGCTACCAACATTTGATTACTTCTAGACAATACTGTATAATTTGTGGGCAGTCGATATATTTTACTGTCTAGTTTCTACATAGTACAATGTTATCTTCATATCATTATCCATTAGCTGTCATCATAATTGACTGTTTTATCTAGTCTGTAGACAGTAATAAATTAGAGGACATTTTAAAAGCTTTCTCCTCACAGAATGAAAGATACAGATATTCTAAGACAGACAGGACTCAAAACATATATATGTCTAAGAAACCAAAGGCTGACCACCTTTCAGAGGTAACGCGGATTCTTTCATCATTGGAAGAATTGAATCTATCCTCTTTTTCTCTGAAATATTCTTCTATGCATTGTTCTTCAAAATCATGAACCTTCTTCAGTTCATCATCTGTTATAAAAAGCTCTATACAAGACATATGAGAAAATGACAAAGAAGCAGTTAAAAACAATTAACTATATTTTAAAAGAACTGCCAATTTTGTGAGTTTAAAATGCATCTCCCATCCCTCATCTGATAGGGTCATTTCAATTATTTCCATATTTATAGCCACACACATACATAAGGGTTATGTTATATGCATGAAACTATGGCTTTCATTTTATGTTACACTCTGAAAAACAGGTTTTTATCAACTGTTTGGGTTTCTGTTCCATACTCTGTTTGAGATGGTGAATTAAGAATTCTTTGGGGGTCATTTGAAATCACTAACAGCTAATGTTTCCCAATTGGTCTCGGATTTGTTATCTTTTAAATGAATGTTTTAATCTTTTGTTTAGTTAATGTTTAATTGTGATTTTATTGCTATTGTTTGTGTGGCATCTAATGATTGTTGGTTGTAAGCTGCCCTGTGTCCCCCATCGAGGGTAAGAACTGCAGTTGTGATTTTATTTATGCTGTCATTTTATAGCTATTTTGATGTTCTTTTTAATTTTTTATACACTGCTCATTGAAGAGGGTTCAGTGTTAGAGTATATGTCTTGAATGCAGAAGATCCTTTCCATCATGACACAACTCTCTTTCACATTATCCAGTTGTAGCACTCTGATAAAAATTTAACTCCTAAGATCCCATCCTATGGACTCCTGGAATGTGTAGTTTCTTGAGGTATTTAGAATTCTCTTCCAGAGAGTCCTAGTACCTTGGGTGTGTATGTAACTTCAAGTTGCCTGCCTATTTATGATGACCCCCATGAATTTCATAGGGTATTTAAAGGCAAGGAATGTCCAGATATGGTTTTTCACAGTTTTTTTCTGGTATTCATTAATGATCTCTGATAGAAATACTAGCCAGGGTAGACCCTATTTTGTTTCCAAGATCTGATGGCATTTGGTGCCTTTAGGGCATGTAGGTCCCACCTTATGAAGTCACAAATCTCAAGATTTCATAAGATACAGCCATGGCAGTTAAAGGGCATCAAAATGCTGTAGTTGTATAATGTGAATGTGATCATAGAAGGGTCAGGTGATAGGTAAATATTTTCTTGTGAGATCCCAGAGGTAGCTGAAGTCAGTCAAAGTAGTGGATATCAATCCAGAGTGAGAATTAATCTAACTTTCCATGAAGCAGCTTTCTTGGGGTCTTGATAAATGCCTAAATCAGAGGAAACTTACTCAACCCATAGTCTGTCTCATCTGGGTCACTGTCGTGTTTCCGCCATCTGCAGCATATGTGTTGAAATATCATTGTCATGTGACTGAAGATGATGAGTGGAGGCGGCAAGACTGGTCTTTCATGGAAAGTCATGATGAGCTGATACCTCTGAAACTTCCAGACTTGGTTAGATATTGATTTAACTTCAAAGAAGGTGTTGCTGAAACAGGAAAAGAGGAAGAAATTGACATCTGATTTTAGGTATCATTTGTATGCAATACTAAAACCATTGCTTCCATTACACAGAAGCAAACCTAAGTGTGTATGTAGTATGGAATAGCAACCAGTCTGCCTCTGAGAGATATTCAAATACTTCTTTGTATCATTCATGAGTTACATCTTTAATTGAAAACTTAAACACTAAGGGATGCATCTAAAAATATGATACAATGGGTCTTTGGTATCTGCTGCAGCTTGGTTTGAGGAAACCCCATGTGGATATCAAAATCCATGGATCCTGATGTCCCATTATAATACAGTGATGTGTATTAGTATCAGAATAAATGAATCAGAAGAACAAGAAGAATTCATTTTTTTCAAATGTAACTATCTACCCTCAAATACATTACGGTAATTTATCAATTCACATTGTCTTATTAATATGGGAGTTAGAACAGGACTGCTCCCTGCCATGTCAATAAGGGCTCTTTTACAAGATTCAGTTATAGAAACATGATTCCACTTTAACTTTGCAACAATTTAATGGAATCTGGAATTTGTCATTTGGTGAGACAATACAGGCCTCTGGCTGAGAACTAAGTATACCTATTCCTAAACTACAGGTTCCAGGATCCCATAGGATGGAACTGTGGTGATCAAAGTGGTATCATAGTGCTATATCTTTGTAGTGTGAAAAGGCACTAAAGTAGCATGTGTCTTCTGGAGTACGTAAGACAAACAGAGAACTTGGAAAAAGCATGTTAGAGCTAGTCTTAGGAAAAGCTCAAGTCTTAGATCTATCATGCCACAAATAACAGTTTTACAGTACTTAAAACAAGTTACTGTTTTGATATAATAAGAAAATGTAGATATTCCTGCTGCAAAGCGATATCATGATTATCAGCATCATTTTCGGGATAATGTTTATGTACTACATGACAAATGACTCTGTTATCAGTAATCACATTACATTTGCTTATTATAGCATTACCTTGTCTTGTTGCTTATTACTTGGGAATGCACTGTGTTACACATTAGTAACTTGCTGCTAACATGTTTTTAGATCTTTTTATAAAAAAATCAGAAGATATAAAAGAGTTTCAATCTCCCAAAGTACATTCAAATATAAATACAATCATGATTTAAATTGGGTGATAGTTAATCAGTTTCCTGGATCAAACCTATGTCTACCTACAGTAAGAAGAATTGGGCAGAGTACTTTCTGAATTATTCAGAAACAAACAACAAACAAAAACCAACCAGCTCTCCACAGTTCCTGGGGTTAGGGACTCACGATAAGTTTGAGAGTGAAAAAACTAAATTAAAAGGCCTCCCACTTTATATGTGCAACAACATCTCTCCAGGAATCTTTAGGTCTTTCAGTACAATGGGCTGAAGAACATAGAGAGACCATAATTTATGAATAATCAAATTTGCAAATATGGAGAGTTGACTGCAATCCCATTTTTATCGATTCACGTGTTTCTTTCCTGAATGAGCCCAGAATAAATCTGGGCTGTTGTAAGTCATGCCAATGGGTCACTAACCCAGAAGGCTTACTTGGCAGGGACTTAATACTAGATATGAAAAGGTATCACTTACCTCTTCTTTGAAACCTCCCAGTGTTTCTGTAGTTATTGATATTTTGTCAGGTAAAATAGTAACTGACCAAAAATGCATGTGCTCGGATTGCTAATCTTATCAGAGTGGTTCACACAAGGAAAAAGCAACAATTCTTGTGCTGTTTTTTATATTATGACACTTAATTTCTATGCTATTCTATGCTAAGTCCACACACAAAGGACCTCATCACATGATGCAGGGCTCCTTCTGGCGGGGATTTGTCTTGGAAATGTCCTAGGATGGAGCTCAGGGAACACAGGAGGCTTCCCGTGTTCTCACTGCTTATAATGGGGCTAGTGCAGGGGGAAGCCTGGCGGGGATGCTTTCCCGCATGTGATGGGGAAAGCAGCGATGCAGGTGATGTTGGGCATGGAGTGACGGTTTCTCCTGCTGCCCCCATGGATTTGCCATGCTGCCCACTTTCACCCGCATATTGGACCTCAGTGTGATGAAGTTCAAAGAGGCCCTATTATGAGAACTGCTCCCAAACATTACCATCTCAATCTTCATTATTCATTATCGTTACTGAATTTTTATACAAACAGATATACATATAAAGTTATGAAACTCACTTAAACACAGCAATCAGCAAATTCACCAGAAGGATGTTTGCAACCAACAGGTAGCAAGCCATTATGGCTGGAACAATCCATGCTCCTGTTTTGCAGGGAGGCAGCTGGATTATTTTACCATCCTCTCTAGTTTCATTTTGACCACAAGGAGCTAGAGAGAAACAAGAAATAAGAAGAAAAAATTATTTCTAATTTTTTAAATCTTTAATAGAGATTATTAAATATTTAAGAATATAATCTATTTCAGAAGTTTAATAACCCCTAAGGGAGTTACTCATTACACCTCCCTGCACAAAACATTTGATCACCAAGATCAAGCACTTTGAAATTCTTTGACACAATTCCTATTCCTTTGGGTACTGAATCATAGTTCTTTATGTAGTTATTTAAACCAGTTTGCTGAGTAATATATAGATGTCTTCAGAACGAATGTCGTGAGGGCCTCATCACAAAGGTCAGGTGAAGTGTTCTGCTTTGGCTGGCACTGAGGCGAAAAGAGAGGGGCAGTGGAGCGGATCTGTGGCCCTATGCACAGCTCCCTCTTGGCTACACTTTCCCTACCACATGGAGAAAATGTTGCCCTCCCAGCGAGGCCCCATTCTGGTTCCATTGGAGCTAGCACAACACAGGAAGTCACCCTGGTTGGAGGTGGGGCCTCTGCTGGAAGTCACATGATGTTGTGAGATGGCGGTGTGAGGCTCCATACATTAGATGGAGTGAAAGATTCCTGGGATGCTAAGGCCTTCCCATCTGATGAGGGTATCAATGTGCATTTCTGTTTTTAGATATTTATTGCAAATTATCAAAGTGGCTTCAACGAAACATAACATGAATTGATTAAAACACTTGTGAAAAATGTATTTGCTGTGTTAATGTTTGGGGTTTTGATAACAAGTAGTTAGTGCAGGGGTTACCATCAAACATGTACAGTATAGAAAAAGAGGGTATCATTTCAGTATGCAACAGTAAGATTTATAGAAGCATTGCATAATTTTATTGCCATACTATTTCCATACTGTTAAAGAATTTTGACAATGAAAAAATGTTAGGCCAAGGACGATACAATAAGATATTTATAGAATTTGTTTCATGTAGATATTTGACTTTATTTTGCATTGGTGTATTCATTTGGAAGGGATAATTGACGAACATGTCAAGGCTATAGAGTTCTCCATTTCACTGGTTTATTTTAATGAAGTACATCTTCCTTTCAGCTGAAATCTTATATAATGAATCCCACCATCATCATAGAGTGCAAGCAGATCAAACGAATAAGGAAACTAGCGCTTAAGATACTTGTAAAACACAGAACCCATTTGATAAAACCCAGCTGTTGGAGCAGGCATGCTACATGAAAGGAAGTACAACTTCCTCCTGAATAGACGATAATATCAACTCTACCCTCCAGTTTGGAGGAATCTCCTTGGTATAGATATAAAATCACAATTAAGCAAAACAGTCCTCTCCACAAGCCAGATAGCATTAAAATAAACAAAGAAATAGGTGCCACACCAAGGAACGATCGGAAAAGTATGTGATATGCAAGGAAAGACAGGCACACTGATCAGGTCTTAAAGTCAAATCTGCAGTACAATGCAAAATTATTATTATTATTTAATTACATTTTTATTATAGTTTCCGATAGATAAGATAAAAAGTCATGAAGTAATGAGTATCACTAATAGAAAAAAAAAAGAAAAAGAAAAGAGAGAAAGAAAGAAAGTAAGAAGAGTGGTAATAAAAATGATAAAAGTAATAACAAACCAAAACAAAAAAAGTACTTCCAATCTTTTCCCTTGCTGGATTCAACTGTAATCTTCAAAAGTCTTTGAAGAAAACATAAGAGAGAAAGTAAAAGAGATCCTGGGAGAACTAATGGAAAAAACTGACCAAGAAATTGATGAACAAGCAGACAGAATTTATAGAATAAATACCAGTTATGCCATAAGGAACAGAACATCGAGAGACGTGATCATACATTTCGTTAAAAAGACCCAAAGAGATGAGGTTCTTAAGACGAACAGTAGAAGAACAGTATTCTACAAAGGGAAAAAGGTCATAATACTGAAGGAAATACCAGGATTGATACTGAATAGAAGAAAGAAATACAGCTCTCTAGTGGAAGAACTCAAAAGACAGAAAATCAGGTTTAGATGGGAACGTGGAGAAGGATTAATGGCAACATACCAGGAAAAAAAATACTGGATTACAAATGAGGAAGTAGCAAAAGATTTCTTAGGAAAGATCATAAAAGAAAAAGGGAAGAAACCAGAGAATGCAAGGAAAGGTGAGAAGGAAAGAAAAAGGGCCCGCACAGAATCCCCTGAGAAAGAAGACTTAGATGCCGGAAACTACAGAATGGACCTAGGAAAAGGAAACGACACAACGAATCTAAATAAGGTAGAAGAAGAAGCAGAAGAAGTAGAAGAAGAAGCAGAAGGAAAGAGAGAAGAGGAAGGAGAAGAAGGAGAAGAGGAAGAAGAGAAAGAAGAAGAAGGAGAAAACTAAAGAGGAACTTAATAAAAAAAACTGGACTCAATAAGAATATACTCGAATAATATTAATGGTTTTAACTGTAAAAGTAAAAGGAATAAAGTATTTAATAGGATAAAAAAAAATCAATATCATGTGATTGCCTTCCAAGAAACCCACGTCACACAAAAACATGTAGCCCATCTAAATAATAAAAATTTAGGAAAGACATACTATTCCTCAGCAGCGGGAAAAAAAGAGAGGGGTGGTTACTTATATAAATAATAACATACCATCACATCAGGCATTCAAAGATGAAGATGGGAGATTTGTAGGGGTAATAATAATAGTAAGAAGCAAAAGAATTTTGATATGTAACATATATGCGCCCAATGACTCAAAAACCAAATTTACAGAGAAACTAAAAGCAAATATTAGTGACCAAGAATTTGACCATCTGATTATCATCGGCGACTTCAATGGGGTAATAGATACGACATGGGACAGAAGTAACAAGGAGAACACTGGGAAGGAAGAAGGGAAAAGAAAAGGAGGAACGCTACCAAAATCACTAATGAATATAATGAAAGAAATGGAGCTAGAAGACATCTGAAGAAGGAAAAATGAAAAAACAAAGGACTATACATTTTACTCGACAAGACATAGAACATGGTCAAGAATAGATATGGCCTGGGTCTCAAGATCCCTAGCAATTGATATCAATGAAATAAATATCTTACCAAGAATGGAATCAGACCATTGCCCAATCGAAATAAAAATAAAATTCAAGGAGAAAATTAGAAGATGGAGATTAGATGATTATCTACTAAGGAAAGAAGAGGATGTAGAAAAAAATAGGAAGCTATTAAAAGAATATTTTGAGATAAATGAAAATCAGGACATACACCCATTTCTATTGTGGGAAGCAAGCAAAGCAGTGATGCGGGGGAATTTTATCCAACAGAAAGCCATAAAAAACAAAATTAAAAACCAAAAAGAGAAGGAAATACTCAATGAGATATCAGAAGAAGAAACCAAATTAAAGAAAAACCCCAACAACAAAGAAGCCAACAAGAACCTGACAAGGCTAAAAAAACAGAGAGAATTCCTAGAACAAGAAGATAGAGCAAAGCAACTGAAATTCCTACGACAGGATAATTTCGAAAATGCAAACAAGCCGGGAAGATGGCTCTCAAACAAACTAAGAAAGAAAAGGGAAACAACATTTGTAACGAGACTGAAAGAGGATGGAAAAATATACACACAAGGAAAAGGGATAAAAGACCAATTTGAGAAATTTTACAGAAATCTATACAAAGAAGAAGAAATAGACAAAAATGAAATCTATAAATATCTAGGAGAAAAAAGGATAGCGCACATAACAGTAGAACAAAGAGAAGAGTTAAATAAGAAAATATCCGAACGAGAAATCAAAGAGGCTATAAATGACTTGAAAAGAGACAAAGCGCCCGGGCCAGACGGCCTGACGGCCACATATTACAAAACATTTCAAGAAGAACTAATACCCCATCTGAAGAAAGTCATGAATACAATTAGAGAAAAAAGGGAAATGCCACAAACATGGAAACAAGCAACGATCACCCTAATACATAAGGAGAACACGGACCCAGAAAATGTCAGAAATTACAGACCCATTTAGTTATTAAATCTAGATTATAAAATATTGGGAAATATCATCTCGGAAAGATTGAAATTTTTTTTAACAAAGCGAATTAAAGAAGAACAAGCGGGCTTTCTACCTAAAAGATCACAAGCAGATAATGTCAGAACGATTGTAAACTTAATAGAATATTATGGGAAAAACATCCAAAAAAAGGTAATGTTTCTGGCGTTAGATGCTGAAAAAGCCTTCGACATGGTAAACTGGAACTTTATTAAAATCTTATTAAAAGAAATGGATGTCGGCTACTACTTTGAAAACATAATTGGCGCAATATATGACGAACAGGAAGCAAAAATTATAGTAAATGGTCAGCAAACAGAAACAATCAATATTCAAAAGGGAACAAGACAGGGATGCCCCATTTCACCCCTAATCTTTATTTTGACTCTCGAGACATTATTAGATAGAATAAGAGAAGACAAAGAGATTGAAGGAGCGCGAATCCAAGGACACAATTATAAAATCAGGGCATTCGCGGACGATATTATAGGAATAATAGAGGAACCAAACAAAAATCTGGAAAAATGGTTGAAGACAATAAAACAATACGGAGAAGTATCAGGATTTAAAATTAACTTGGAAAAGACGAAAGCCATAACAAAAAATATAATAAAAAAAGAGCAGGAAGAACTAAGGAACAAATGGAACATTCAAATCACACAGAAAATAAAATATCTGGGAATAATCTTAACAGCGAAGAACCTACAACTACTAGAAAACAATTACATCGAAAAATGGAAAAAAATTAAAAAAGACCTAGAAAAATGGGGAAATATGAAATTATCTTTACTGGGAAGGATAGCAACTATAAAAATGTCAATACTCCCAAAACTTGTATTCCTATTTCAAAATCTACCTATAATCAGAAACCAAAAAATATTAAATGATTGGAAAAAAGATATAATGAGGTTCATTTGGCAGAAAAAAACCCAAGAATAAATTATAAAAACACGATAGAAGGGAAAAGCAAAGGAGGCCTAGCAACCCCAGACATA